AAGAATAATTCAACTTTCTTACTTTATACGTGGTAGAGCCATGCTGCAGTTATATTAGTAGTATAGTTGTAGCACGAATGGGTCGGCTCGACCGGGGAAGGACCACGCTGTCACAGAATACCAGCGTGAAATAGTAGCTTAATGCTGCTGTATTTCGTATGGTGAGTGTAGAGAACCGGAGACCCATTTTACTGGAAACGAGGCATTCCATGTTAGTCCTCACGGGTGACAACGCATCTGCATTTTGATTCGTAATCGAGGATAGATGTAGATGTCTATGGGCCACAGCAACCACTTACCATCAGGTGGACTGTGTGCTCGTTTGTCACCCTATCCTATAAAAAAAAACTATTATTTTATCTAGACAATTCTTAATGCCATCAAAAACATAACTTGTAAAAAAAACCAAGTCTCGCAATTCAGTTCTTCTACCTTAAAAAGTAGTGAAATCCATGTAATACCAAGTCGGTTAATTTATTCAGTCCCTACTTAAGGGACCTTCTGTTTTAAGTCATTACGTAATTAGCTAACCTAACAACATTTTATAGTGACCATATCAATGTTAAAAATCTTTTATGTTTACTACACTAACACTAAGCAATCTAATTTAATATAATATGTACTACTTGTGAGATACATTGTGTTTTCTTGCGATTGCTAAGTCAATCTTTATATTTAAAACATAAAAGATTTTTAACATTGATATGGTCACTATAAAATGTTGTTAGGTTAGCTAATTACGCAATGACTTAAAACAGAAGGTCCCTTAAGTAGGGACTGAATAAATTAACCGACTTGGTATTACATGGATTTCACTACTTTTTAAGGTAGAAGAACTGAATTGCGAGACTTGGTTTTTTTACAAGTTATGTTTTTGATGGCATCTCATTTCTTTTTGTAGATAAGATAGTCTACTTTTTTACTTTCCGGTACCTTCTACTTCCTGAATGCCAACAACGTACCTATCTACACCTATTATACATATACAAGTACACTGATTCATTAATTGCAAATGTAACTTTGTAATTCTATATATTTATATAGGATTACAAAGTTATTTGTGCAGTTGGTATATCTAGAAAACTGGACCGAAATTAAAAAGTATTTTAGTTTTTCCTTGATTTATACACTAAACACTAATTTTATTCTAAATTTGAAGCTTCTATGTCTGCTAGAAGTGCCTTAGACTTTTGATGATCGATCAGTCAGTGAGTGACAAAATTAAGAAACTTTGACTAGTTATACTTCTTAAACTACTGGTTCAAATTGAATGAAATTTGAAATATATCATTTTTATACAATGTCTACTATTTAACTAAAAATTCAGGCTTCTAGTTTTATCCTCTACGAAGTTATAGAGGGTCGAAAACAGCCTGAATTGCTTCGAGAAAAGTATGGTACGGCCGTGCCGCTTTTTTACTCGACTTGGAAGGGGCACGGCAGTGCCTCCAGATATAATTATGTAGTAAGATATTAAGAACATCATTTTATTGTTATGAATAGAATACAAAATTTATGAACTATATATTTTGAAACACCTATTTTTATTTTTATATTAGCAGAATTGGTTATAGCCGTTAGTACTCCGATTAGTTTGTGTTTATAGCGTGGTATAATAGTCTATGATTATAGCTTTATTGTGTATTTATGGGGATTTCACCACTAAAACACAATTTGCATTCATACCTTTTTATTTATTGACAACTGTCAGATGTTAGTTTTATTAGTAAGCCTACAATATGGCTTTCATACTCTACATTCTCTCCACCACTTAATATAAAAAACATAAGTAATGATAAAAATGTATAACTAATCATGTAATTTTTTAAAATTTATATTTTGGATTCGGATTTCTAGTTGAGCGGGGAGGCAGCCCTTGCATTGGTACCTCTAAATGTTGATTGGATTTACTGCCAGAACTTTCGCCCTCTTCTCCTCTTAATAACAAGGAGTCGGAAGTTATGGTATCAACTTCTGTAGCCTTCACGTTACAATTAGCTTGATCTGTACTCAACATATTAGAAAAATTTTCAAAATTACTCAAATCTAAATCATATTCTTCATTTTTATTTCATATGATCGACATGTTTCTTATAATATTTATTTAACTTCGGAACAAAAACAGTAAATAATCTATTTCCTAATTTATTTTAACTACGCCGAACTTCCACGTGTAATCGTTCCCGTTGTTGTAAAAAAACTTAACTAAAACTTTATCCTCTTTGTTAAAATTGCTCTTTCTTCGTCCATCATAGTTTTCACTCTGTGAGATCTGTTTATTTGCAACATTATTGGTTGTGGATGATAAAGATGTATCATTTGTGTTCTGCTCAAATTTGTGGTCCCTAAGTAAGTCGAGTCGACAGCGGAGCGGACGGCCTAACAACAGCTGGGCAGGTGAGAAACCGGTTGTGCAATGGACCGAATTTCTGTAACTAAAAAGGAACTCATTTAATTTATTAATTATCGATTTTTGATTCGTATGTGTGTTTAAAATAATCCTTAATCCCCTTTTAACTATCTTAACGGTATTTTCTGCTTGCCCATTTGATGCTGGGTGATACGAAGGAGAAGTTAAATGTTGTATACCATTTGACAAACAAAAATTTTCAAATTGTTTTGAACAAAAAATACTCGCATTATCGGTTACCAGAGTGCGACATAACCCAAATCTACTAAAAATCTCTGAAAGTTTGCTGATAATTGCTTCACTATCTGTATTATTCATTTGGAAACATTCAATCCACTTTGAATGTGCGTCTACAATAATTAAAAATTGTTTGTTGGATAAAGAAAACATATCTAAATGAACTCTTTCCCAAGGACGTTTCGGAAATGGCCACGATGCCAGTGGAGAACGGGGTGGATCATAGCGGAGCGAGTTGCAAATACTACACGATCCTAATATTTCTTCAATCTGCTTATCAATATTGGGCCACCACATACGCGATCTCGCTTCATTTTTAGTCTTTACAATGCCAAAATGGGCCTTATGCAATTCTTTAAGTAGACTTTCCCTAAAAACTGTTGGTATAACCACTTTATGTCCCCTTAATAGGCACCCATTTTCGACACTTAAATCATTTTTACATTTAAAATACGGTTTAAGTTCAGCATTTTGCATTTTCAAAGGCCAGCCATTTATAACAAAATTTATAATTTTACAGAGTATTTGATCTTGCATAGTTTCTTTCCTAATGTCATTTACCGTAATAGGTTTTAACATATTATCGTTAATAAAATTAATAATTAAATTAGTTTGATCTGGACTACATTCAATATTTTCAGAACAATTATTTACTGAACATCGTGATAAAAAATCGGCAACATTATTTTCACTTTTGACATACTCTATCGTAAAATTGTATGCGGACAAAAATATAGCATATCGTTGAAGTCTATTCGCTACCATTTCAGGTATACCTTTTTTACCACCAAAAATCGACACCAAGGGTTTGTGATCAGTTCGCAAAATAAAAGGGGTCACGCGGCCGTATAAATAGTGGTGAAACTTTTTTTATAGCAAAAATGATAGCAGTCGCTTCTTTTTTGAATTTGTACATAATTTCGTTCGGCATTTATGAGCGAACGCGATGCGTACGCCACCACTCGCTCGACGCCGTCAAGCTGTCGCTGAGCGAGCACTGCGCCGAGCCCGTTCGGCCCTGCATCAGCCGTCACTATTGTAATTAGGTCGGGATTATAATGTGCCAACACCCTGTCAGACGCTAATTCATATTTGATTTTATTGAATACTTTTAAATGTTTTTCTTGCCACACCCACTTTACGCCTTTTTTTAAAAGTGAATGCAAGGGTGCTAATAAAGTCGATGCATTAGGCACAAATCCTCTATAATAATTAATAAGCCCTAAAAATGATTTCAATTCCGTGACATTATTAGGACATTTACTTTCTAATATTAAGCTTTCACTTTATTGTTTGATTTACGTAGTCCTGACTTATCTATGATAAAACCTAAATACTCAATTGAGTCTTTAAATAAATCGCATTTATCTTGCTTTAATCTAAGTCCTGATTCCTGTAATTTTCTAAGTACTTGATGTAATCGTTTTAGGTGTTCCTCTTTTGTTGAGGCCGTTATTAAGATATCGTCTAAAAATACGCAGACTCCCTCAATACCTGATAAAAGTTGATCAATTGTTTTCTGAAAAATACTTGGGGCGCATGAAAGTCCGAAAACTATTATAACAAAATAAACCGATGTGGGTGTTAATACACGTTAATTTTTTAGAGTCATCTAACTCCAGCTGATTATAGGCTCTAGAAAGATCTAATTTTGAAAATTGGACGCCACCATGAAGCTTAGCAAATAAATCTTCTATTCGTGGAAGCGGGTAATTATCAGAGTATAAAAATTTTATCAACGTCACTGAATAATCGCCACATATTCGTATGTTACCGTCTGACCGAAGAACGAGTACGATCGGTGTCGCTACCTCTAAATAATCTACGCGCTCTAAAATACCTAAATCTAAATGTTTATTTAATTCTAGCTCAACTTTATGTTTCAAAGCTAATGGTACTGTTCTCGGCTTAAAAACTTTAACTGAGCATCATTTTTTATTTTTAAAGTTACTTTATATTTATTAAAAGTTCCCAGCTCATCTGTAAACAACTGTGAATATGTTTCCTTCAATTCTTTTCCTAAATCGTTATGTTCTAACCCTTTACAACCGGAGATTTTTTTTCAGATTCTAACCATAAAACTTTTATGTTGCCTTCCTACTAGGTATATAGAGCTCAAAAAAATCAGTTAAAAAAAATCTCGAGGTCATAGCTTACCCACAAATCCACCCGCACCATCGTGAGTCGCAAGTCGTACACGACATAGTCACGATCGTGAGGGTAATTTAAACTAGCCCTATGTTTTGGTACTTTAAAGAATAATTAAAAAAGCTTATACTTAATCAGCCTCTTTATTAATTATTTAGTTATTTTAATCATTCAGTCTCATATAATTTTTTTTTAGAACTAAACATTAATTCGTGCCTTTGGCAACATAATACAAAATTTTCTGTAAAATATATACAAAACAAAACAAACTTTTAAAGTTGTACGCTACAATAAAAAATAATTTTAATTAATGCTTCTAAAGCAAATCAGGAACTATCAGATCATCCTCTGGTATGGTAAGACTTGAAACAGTCTTTGCCACGTGCGATACACAAATACGTGTCGCATTTTGTGCAGCGTACCTTTATGCGACTGATACAATTTTCGTACCTGCACATTCTAGGTGCTTTTATTTCGTCGAACTCTGGAAAATGTTCGTATCCATCATACCGCTTTGATTCAGACGGCTTGTTTGCTGGTCAGTACTGTCTTTTCGGAAGAGGAGATTCATTTTCATCCAGCGGCGGTTCATTTTCAATATTGCTCGTCGATGGCCGGTTTCTTGCCGGCAAACTTGACAATCCAACAGCAATGTTCATGCGGAAGTCTAACAAGGGCAAAATATCCCTCCTGCTTAATTTATTTGCCATACAATCATTACGATACAGTCGCCAAGAGTTGACAATTGCCAAGTCAAGAAAGTGTATCAGTACTTTCAGTGTCCATTTCTTTGTTTTGATGAATGTCCGATAATACTCCATCTGCTGGTCCAGAACATCAACACCCCCCATGTGTTGGTTGTAATGCTCGACTACTTTTAGGACAGGTACGTCTACGTACATCTTCAAGTGTTTTTCCCATCTCTTGACGATTGAAGATGAGGACGAGCCGGTGCAGTTTGACGCCATTAGCACGGACTTATTGTCTTTCCATTTGACGACGACAGTCGGTCCGCAAACATACTGCTGTGATTCTCCGCGAGCCATTCTAGCATCTGGTTTAAATTTAATCGCAGTACGGTCAGGGATCCTGTTGAACATGATTGTTCCCGTACTGTGAAGATTCCTCTTTGTCATCTCTTCAATTAGCGGAACAGTCGTAAAATATCTGTCGTGGTAGACACAGCTTCCAGGCGGTACACTTTTCACCAGATGCAGAACCACAGAAGCTCCAAGTCCAAGAGATGTATCTGCAAACATGGTTTTAGCTCCTCGATATATGTCGAAGTCTAGCATCAAGCCTTCACTTGTGGTCAGCACAAAGTTCTTCAAACCCACCGGGCGTGGCTTATTTCGGACTACCTGGCGAAGTACACATCTGCCAGTAAATGGTACCATTTGCTCGTCAATGGAGTAGAAGCCAGGAACTCTTTCAAGTTTGTTACAGGCTAATTTTAACCGGTCAATCGTCGGATGTACTTTCCACAGTGGATTGTTACTATTACTTGGCGGAGCTTCATCAGCATCTACGATGTGCAATGCATTGCGGACAGTCAAGAACCTGTCACGAGCCATTTGTTGAGTTATTATATCCAGTTTTATTCCACCTCTCCAATACATCGGGACACGGGGGTAGGGAATACATCCAATGATGATGTGTATTGAAAAAACTTTGGCTACTTCAACTGTTGTAAGTTTCAGTTCCTGGCCCGTTTTTCTGTGATGGTACATGTTTGTGCACCTGGCAATTTCATCAAAAAACTCTATGTTGAAATAGTCGGAGAAATACTCCATTGGAGTCCTGACCGGAGTAACGGGCAAGGGAGCATAGTCATGACTACAATCGTCGAAAGGTACCTGCTTCCAAACTCTCTTTCGAGAAGGTGGCCGTAAAGATCGAGGGCGCGGAGTTAGTTGTGATGGTCCAGGAGTATCTTGCATCGGTTCCGGCTCCGGTGCTACAGACGGCTGTGGTTCAGGCTCTGGATCATCCAACTGAAGATTTTCGAAAGTGCTGGGTTGGATTTCGTCGTCGTCGTCCTCAAAATCTTCGATGTCGGAGAAGTTTCCATCGCCCAGCAATTGTATAACTTGATCTTCTTTCAAACTTCTGCCTAAAACGTTAAAAAAAGTAACTATTAATTACAAAATCTATGTAAAAACAATCATCAAGTACAGTACCCACTCCCGAATAATGTTTCGGTAGTACATCCGGAGCCGCACGATCGTAGCGGTCGTACTTTATAACGTAATTCTAACGAAACCGTAAAGGTCAGCACAAAATCAAAATAATCTAGGTATTGGGTTATCTTTTAACTTTAAAATAATTATAAAACACAATCAAATACTTTCAAATTACTATTAAAAATAATTACTTAAAGCGGCGCGGCGAGGATCGAAAAACGCAGCCATCTTTCATCTCAGCTCACAGGTGACTGACTGCTCCCATTCCACCCGTATCTATTTTCCGCGCGTAAAATACACCTCGCGAACGATCGACGCCGGTTGCGTTCGGAAAAAGTAAACCGTTTGGTGCCAGTATTTTTTTGAATTTAAACTCACGCTCGTATCAGTCCGAGTATAAAGGGCTAAGTTGTTACAGTTACCAATACACAGTTTCATATTAAAACACGTTATAAAATTACGACCCAACAGAACTAGTTGTTTTATATCTGTTTTTATAATATAAAAACAAATAATTTCAGTACGATTTTCATACGTCATAGAGCCGTGGTAGCTCAGTGGTTAACGCTCACTGTAAATATAACAGAACGCGAGTAACCCGGGTTCGATCCCCGCCGGCACCAATGAAATTGTTAATTGCAATTTTAAGTGCTGATTTACCACGTGCTCGGCGGTGAAGGAAAACATCGTGAGGAAACCTGCATGTCTGAGGAATAAGAAAAAAAATATTTCGAAGATATGTGAAGTTCGTCAACACGCATTTGGGCAGCGCGGCGGACACTTCCTTGCCCTAAACCCTCTCAGAAATGAGGGGAGGCCTGATCCCAGCAGTGGGACGTATATAGGCTGTAACTTTACTTTTTACTTTACTTTTTCATACGTCACCGGTAATAAACAATAGCCCAAAGGAGATATTTTCGAGCCATTATAACAATTTAAAATAACGTTACAATGGTTTAATGAATAATTATTGTGAAAATATGATTGATAAACCATTTCCGGTAGAACAGATACAGCACTACCACTATCTATTTCACATAAAATTCGCTTTGACGCTATCGACACGACCAGTCTCATCGGCATACCGTTTAAACACCCAATATTATACAAATCATATGAAATACCTTTTACTAAATCATTGTCATCCACCTCCAAATAATTGTTGCTCTTATATGTACTCTTACAAACACGTTTTAAATCATTGAGCTATTATGTACTACGTCCTAGAGGCGACACTACATTCAGCTACTCTGTTCCACTCAACTGCGGTGCATACACCGCACTTTAATCAGTCACTCGCTAGGCGCTTGTGGAGTTGTCACGTGTTGTGATGATTTAAAAAAAATCTCTTGATAAAAATATGCCGTCGTGTGTACTTAGATATTGCACAAATAATTCAAAAAATGTCGGTAAAAACCAAGGAATTGCTTTTCTTAGGTTAATAAGATACTTAATCAATAAAGAGTATTATAGATTAATAATAAAACAAATTATTTCTAAGACGCCATCTTGTGTCATGAAATATAGATTATGAAATTAATTTGTTCAGATGCGACATTTCTGTGGGTACTTAAAGTATAGGACGAATATATTATTAAACAAATTTTTTTGTAGAAACATATATAAGTTATTATAATTAGGCTAAATTTTTAATGTTTAAATCTGCTCATTATTCTTTTATTTTAATTTTAGGTTTCCACATTAGCAAGCAAAGGTGGAATAAATTAATAGTAATAAGTTAATTAAGAGAGTTAAACTCTCGCGTGCCCAGAATTTATGAACAACTCTTATTCTAATTTAAATAAATATATTTGTAATTTAAATGTTATGTTAATAAGTTTTGATAAACATACATTTAGTAGGTACGTTTTTTATATTTGAAATAGATACCTTATAAAATATTCAGATAAAAATATCATTAAAATGTAATTGTGATATAATATTATGTAATATTATATTGAATAAGCAAAAATAATATACAAAATAAATGACAAAATTTAAATATTGTTCTAGATATAATTTACCTATTTAACAATACAATCTACTATTACCTAGGGATCATTCTAACTATGTTTATTCTATGATATAAAAAACAAAACCGCGCGAACACAGAGTAGCGCACATTTTTTGTTTGAGATAGCTGTTCTAGCACCTAAGTACATATTACTTCAATGTTTTAAATGCCCTTTTTTATTACACTTTTGACAAAAATAATTCGCATATCGACATTTATCTTTAGTATGGTTCTTACATCCACAAACCGAACAAGATGTGTTTGTTGCTGTAGTTTGACGAACAGCATTTTCTTGGGCTCGTAAAGCGAACACCGGTTGTGCTGTCGCTGATGATGTGACTAGTCCCTCATCTTGCAATGACCTTTGAACTGCAACTCGGGCACATCGGGCACATTTGTGCTAACTCCAACGCTTTGTTGAATGTTAAGCTATCGATATTTTCACTAAAAAGCTTTTCTTTTTCCTTGACATTTGCCAATCCCAGCACAAACTTGTCCCTTAATGCCGTCTCCAGTTCTATTTTAAAACCACAAAACTGAGCAAGATGACGAACCCGAGCCGCCCATTCAGTTAAATCTTCGCCTGGTCTTTGTTCTGCTTTATAAAAAACATATCTTTCCGCAAATGTACATTTCTTTAGGGAAAACTGGTTGTCAATCTTTTCAATGAGAGTCTTATAAGCTAAATAATCTTCTAGTTTTAACGGGAAAAACCAAGTCACGTACTAGGCGATATGTATCTTCTGCTAATGAGGTAAGCAGAAAAACTCTTCTCATAACTCCTGCTTTATCAGTGTCATCATGATAATTATTTGCCATACAAAACTGGACAAACCGACTCTTAAAAATATCCCACTCTTGCATATGGTGATCGAATGTGAGGCTGTTGCCGAACAACACACTTCCTTTATTCGACATTATTTCTTGGTAACTATTTCACTTTAAATATTGCACTCAATAATACGTGAATAAGATCCTCGTCGCAAAATATTGTGTATTTATGGGGATTTCACCACTATAAGACAATTTGCATTCATACCTTTTTATTTATTGACAACTGTCAGATGTTAGTTTTATTCATAAGCCTACAATATGGCTTTCATACTCTACAAGCTTTCATTATTTATTTCTCTATCTTTGTTAGAGGAAGGTCAGATGATTTCGATTATTATACACTGAGTAGCCTTAGATACATCAAATTAGTTTTCATAAAATTGAAAACTCAACATGAACACACTATCATTATTTTTGTTGTGTAACAAATAGGTAATCTGAACAATTTAAAAAGTCTAGCTTTTTCTTGCCTATGCTGGTATGTTAGCACATAGAAGGAACAGGACCACTTTTTAACTTTATTATTTTTTTAATAATTTTATATATATCCAATTTTATTCACTTAACATTCGCAACCACTTTTCTCTAATTGGACTTATAGGGAATCTGCAACTCGTATATTAAAGATATTATTAGATACTTTGCATCCATCCGCTCAAAAAAATAAAATGATGTGTCTTACCTAGTTTGAAGAGCACCCCCCGCCCTCCCTCAATGCGTGCACTAATCCCGTCACCATTAATCCTAGCACCACTACTCCCAACACCACTACTCCCAATACAACAACAATTTCTACGACCATTTTAGAAAAAACGTATAACAGCATGCACCGTGAACTGAAAGAATACTTGATGACCCAAAAGTGTTTGCATCTGCTTCTGGATGGCTGGTCAAATTGCAGGAATGAAGGTGTTATTAGTATCTTAATATCAAAGTCGGAACCCATATTTCTTAAGAGTATAGCCTCAGAAGATGATCGGCACACAGGCGAATATATTTACAATATAATTTCGGACGTCCTAAATGAATATGGTCCACACGAATTTGTCAGCCTCATTGGTGACAACGCGAGTAATGTGCAGAGACATTGAGTTATACAACACTAGAGGAGCAAACCACATTACCGCGCGTCGAAAAATGTGTAACCACTATCCAAACGCGACGACGTAGCTTTGAAACTAATAACAATTTTAAATAAACATATATCTATCTCACTTACACAAGTTACGTAAACAATATCGTCGCTAAAATTAGATAAAGATAGACACACAAACATGCAATGGCGGGTTGGTGTGGCTTACTATATAAAATTTTACCTAAAATACGCAATAAAAATGAGTTTTTTTTAAGCTTCAGTTAATTGTTTTTATATTAAGAAAGTATATTTTATTTTAAAATCTTTATTGCGTCCCCTTAGAAAAAAAGAATACAAAGCTTATCAGATGATTTAGAAGTACATAATTATTAAATAAAACATATTTTTATAAATATTTTTTACTGTACTAATAAATCAAGTAATATAAAATAGGTAGTGAAATATAATTAATATAAAATTTATATGAAATTTTAATTAATATAAAATTATTAATATAAGATATAAGGTAGTAAAATATATTTAATAGATAATTCATGAATAAAATAAAATAAGAATAATTATTTTGTATAAAGGTTGAAACATAGTTTTTATTTTTAAGCAATCAATTTTACTTGTTTATTTTAAAACAAAATTAACTTATTCCATAAATTATACAGTCTCCCATTAATGTGGAAAAATCACAAAGGCGGAAAAGTGGCAACATTGAACCTAAATTGCAATATTCGATATTTTATTTAATTTTTTAGTGTTTTAAACGTTAATATGGATATATAAATTAAAACTTACGTATGGAAAGTGATTCCGCTTGATTTATTATGTTTTTGTGACCTTGAAACGCATTCTTTCACTACGCATTTACCCATTTTTTGTTGTGAATCGTTCGGCTTAACTCGGACGGCGTCACCTTGAACACTGAACCGACGTACGCTGAGTATAAGGCTGTGGCCTTATGTGAAGTGACAACGCTTTGGCGCGGAAATTACTTATCTAGTGTAACATATAAATCAATGTGCAGAGAGCATTCCGTCTTGTCAAAGAAAATCATTCTCACATACGAGGAGTCAACTGCAGTGCTCACACGAAGTGTGTGAGCACTGCACTGACTCAACTGCAGGGCTCACACACTTCATTTGCTATGTAAAAATATTATGAAAATCAATAAGTTAAATGCTTTCAAAGATATGGCTACAAACATAATAAAAACCATTCGACAAAGTCAGGTCCTAACATCTTTACTGGTCAAAATCGTGAAAGAAAAAATGTTGGCGAAAGTTTAAAATTACCCTACGATACCCGTTGGGGAAATCATTGTTTATGTTTTAAAAGCATGGAAAACACTAAAGTGGCCCTTCAAACCTTGGCTGTCCACGAAAAAGCCACAAACTTACCTCTGGAAGATAAATCAATATTATTAGATGAAGATTTTTGGACAATGTTGAAGCAATGCCGCCAGATACTGGAACCCATTACAGAGGCTATAATACGTCTAGAATCCAATGACAATAACTTGCACAAAGTTTTGTTAACTTTAAAAAACTTGAAATCTAAGTTACTTTTCTGTTTGCCAGAAGTAACAATAGTTGAAAACGATGTCAAAGAAAAGATTCTAGAGAATGTCGATCAGAGAATTCAAATGTGCCTCAAGCCCACATACATTATGCGGCATACTTATTAGACCCTGCTGTACAAGGAGTAGAGCTTGGGATGGAATTCATTTCCGAGGTAGGACAAAGCATTGGATTAACCGTGACGCTAAATTTAGCATCCTACAGATCAAGATCGGACTTTTGGAGCCGAAGATTTTTATGGGAAAATGTAAAGGAAATAAAACCAACAACAGGGTGGAGCGGTTTATGCGCGTCTACTGCGTTAAGCAAAGTGGTTGTGCGAATCCTCAAGACTTCTTGCACTTCTGCTGCAGTTGAACGGTCATTTTCTACACACAGCCACATTCACAATAAAAAAAGAAACCGGCCGACGAGTGAGAGAGCAGCCAAAATTGCCTTCATATCCTACAATTGGAATTTGCTCAATAAGAGCGATTTGGAAAAAGATGATGACTATGAGGAAAGGAGGCATGTGTGTTACACCTCCGACTATAGGCACACATGTACATTGATCGGATTGTACAATAGACACTTTTGACTCACCTCAACCATCGACCTCAGGCTCTGCCACCATCGAATTTTTAGATTGTGGTCAAATTTCAGACTCGAGTAACAAAATGAACAAAAATTATATTAAGTTTAAGTTTGATACTGTAAAGAAATGTGTTCTTATCTAATTTTTGCAACATAAATGAACAGCAAAAATAATAAATATTCCATGAATCAATACTACGTTTTGTTTTTTAATTAATATCAACAAAATTCTACCCAACTATCTACTTATTTTCTTCAAATACAAAATATCACAGTCTTTCGTCTAAAGTACTTCCTTTTATGTATTGTTTATCTCTGCATGGTAATACCCATAGATAAATAAATATGTAGCAAGCTAGTAATACCTGTCAAGCAAAGCGATAGAAAAAGAAAGATATTCCAGTGAGTCGCAATCGCGAGGCGAGGATGTGAAAAAGCGCGCGCGCACTGCTCGCCTCGCGTACTCATGCATGCCAAAAAATCCCTGCTTCGGAAGTGACCACGCGAGCCGCGAATGTAGCTGAACTATTAGGTATTCAGTTTAGGTATCCGTACACCGACATTGCCTAAAGGACTGTAGGTAAGTTGGTTGTTGGACACTCACTGAATAAAACAATCTCAGCATTTTCGTTTCTGCCTTTTCGCAATTCATAACTAAGCAAAGAAAGTTTAAAGTATTAAAAGCGAGAATTGAAGTCGAACCCGACTTAAGTATGTGTATTTTTTATCGTGTTCTACTCATTTAATATTTTCCGAATAAGGTTTTGCAAATAAAAAAATAATTTGTTGTAATTTCCATTTATGCCCGCCAAAATGGGCAGAAATCCATTTCTGCTCGATTTAAATCCTTTCTGCCCAATCAAAACCCATTGGGCAGAAAAGACAAAAACCCACCGCCCATCTTAACTCGTATGTCACATGACGGCCAGCTAATATAATAGTTCGCACAGGTGCGATGTTTTCAGGCGTGACCGCTGTTCTTGGTCGACCTGCAGAAGAAACAGTGCTGAGCGACACACGACTGCGTCGGAACTCGGCATATCAGCGGTATATTGTCGTAGAACTCGGTGCTTCAACATCATAATTTTCGAAACAAGTTCGCTGACACATTTATCTTGAGATAAGTCGCGACGAAAATTGTGATAAATTATGGCACGGAAATGTTCACGCGTGAGCTCCATTTCCGTTACCGACGTGTCAACTTTAAACCAACATGGTTTTTGTTTTTAAACATTTTTTTAATTGTTTGAATGTCATTAAGATTCTAAGAGACCAGTATTTAATTTCTAAAAAAGGTTTTATTGTAACTCAATCTGAAATGTTCTAGTCCCGAACATTTCAGTGTGCCCTAACGTATCTAATTGACTTTGTGTGGGTGTAAATTGTGTTTTTAAGTTTATTTTATTATTTTTTACTGTGATATTAACACTATTTGGGTATGTACGTGTGTTTTTTGAACAAAATGCCAGGACAACAGCATTTTTACAGTGCGGCAGAGTATACAGACATGGTTTTCTTGTATGGCGAATGCTGCCAAAATTCAGCGTTAACTCTGCGTACTTATCGTGAGACAGAGATACGACGCAGCTGTCCAAAGAATCAGGGAAAATCAGCACATAGTGGTCAACACTCGTAAAAAAGTTGCTCCACGTTACTTTCTATTTTCTTTCGAACGAATCTTGAGACTATTTCGACCTATTTTAAACTAATTCTGAACTATTTCGGCATAGAACAATAAATACATCGAGCGATGAAAAAGAAAAAACAAATAACGTTCTTATAAATATGCAAAGGTGAAGACACTGCTGCCCCGTGATAAGACGATTAGAGTTTTACTACCACTGGTACTGGAAAAAATGTCTCAAGACCAACGTTTCCTACCAAATATGTTTTGGACAGATGACAAACCATGGACCACTGGAGCCATTCGAATGCCCATTTATTTAGGGAATCAGTTCATCAATACCGCTTTTCCATTAATGTTTGGGCACGCATTCACGGAGATCAAATTATCGGCCTTATTTTTATTAACGAAAACCTGCATTCACTGAAGTTTCTCAATATTCTTAACGCCCCAGTATAAATCGTGGCACGTAACTCTAGCGTTGAATGAAACGTGGAGGGGAAAGCTGCAAATGTCGGTCGGTCGAGTATAGTGCGGTGGACGGAATGCAACTGGAGAGTCAATCAGCGTGTGCGAACGACACGCACAGCCAATCATACAAAATAATGCGCAACAACTTTCTTGCCGCGAGTTCTAAGAGAATATTTAGAAGGATTGTCTGTGGTAGCTTACAGACGGGTATGGTTCCAGTTAGATGGAGCTCCTCCACACTACATACACCTCGCGAGAGAGCGGCTTAACATCATGTTCGGCGAACAATGGATAAGGCGTTATGGCCCCAGCAGATGGCCATCTCGGTCGCCCGACCTCACTCCTCTATACTTCTTTTTATGGGATTTTATTAAAAATGAAGTGTACTCATAGATCTCCGAAATCGAAGATGAACTGCGCAATCGTATTGTCGCCGCCTTTGACAAATTAAGAGCCACGGTTGGCAAGAAAGGCTCTGATGGTGTGAGTTATTCTATCAGACACGTTGAATAAACTCAACAACAGCTTGTAAAGTAAGCTGTCGGGTCGAGCCAGACTTTGTCAAACGCTTTTGCGACATAGAAGCGAAGTGTTAGTGGTCCTGCGACCTCTTTTTGAAAGCCTTTCAGTATATGTATATGTATTCTGCAAGGCGATATATTATTAGATATAGAATTTTGTTTTGCAAAGATCAATTTGAAAATCAGGCTAAGTAGCGTGGTTTCCCTGGTTTCGGGATTCCTATAACTTTCGCTTCTTTCCAGGCGTCCAGGAAGGGTGGAGAGAAGGGCGATGAAAATGCCCACTAGGAGCAAAACAAGTGGCGCTGAGATGAATTTAAGCACCCTGTTGCTAATGTCTTCGGAGCCGGGTGCTGAATTTTTTTAAGGTTTTTGATTACTTTTGTGACTTTATTGACAGTTACAAGCTCTAAGGAGTCGCCCGTGGGTGGTAGTGCAGAACTAAGCTCGACCTCCGCTTCAACCTTTGCAAGGTGAGTGGGATTTATGAGTTCGCTAGAAGGAGTGCATTGGCTCTAAAATATCCGCGAGACATTCGCCTTTTTAAGAGTCGTCAAAGATGAGAACGGGGTTTCCTAATGAGAGGCGGCATGGGTGCGGATAGTTCTGCTTTCAAATCTCCGGTCAACTACTAGAAGGCAGTATGGGATGGCTCAATATCCTCCACCAGATTATCCCACTTATCATGTCTAAATTCGGCAATGCGCTGTTTTACCTCTGTTTGAAGGTTGCGCAGTCCAAATTTGCGGTGCGATAGTGATCGTATTGTCTTAGCACAGAATACATAATAGTACTACGTACAGGATGGCCACTCATCTCCCCGCACTCATTTCAAATACCGCACCCCACCCCGCACTTCGTTGTAGATATCACTAACACTTGAACGAGGGCGCGCACGTAATCGGACGAACCTGATGCGAACACACGATTTTACAATTTAAAAGATAGGTATATATATAGGTAATAGGATATACCTATAATCGTGTTTAAGTGTTGGGCGGTCGTAGACTCAGTTTGACCTCGAGCTTACGGCAGTCCACGATTTTCGTCTGAAGGACCAAAACCTTACCTGCAAGCTGGCCAAGCCGCATTAGGAATGGCCTATGATCCGACTTAAGTTCTAAGATTATTTCGATGAATGTTATCGACAAGCTTACATCTTTGAGTATCGCTTCGTCAAGAATGTCCGGTGGATATCTGGTAGTGAATGGCTTGGAGACTCAGGCTCGATAACAACGAAATTTAGTCGCTCTGTGAGCTCGAACAATACATTATCATTAGAATTGTTTGTAAGCGAGTTCCAGGACGAATACTTACTGTTGAGGTCTCTTATTATGACACTGGGACCAAGATTGAGTAATTCTAAAAATCTGATTCTATTATACGCTTTAATGGCGGTAGGGACGCCGAAACGATGTTAAGTGGCGGATCGCCAGAGAGAGCTACCTCACATATGGAAACTTCTATGTTGATTAACGGGGGAGCGTCTATCGGCATACAGTGCAGGAACCTTTTGTAGGTAGTAGATCAAGGTGTCGCCCCAACGGCTGGTCAACCTATCATTTCTAACAAAGTTATAGTTTGCGATCTTGGGATCGCGATGCTAGGCTTCCAGAAGGTCTCTGGCACTAGCATAACGTCTACATCGTGGTTGCACAGGAAGAGCGCGATCTCGTCTTTTTGGTCTCTAGGGCCGGTTGCGTTAAAAAACGCGATATTCAGAGAGCGTAGTTTAGTTCTACCTAACAGCCTGGCCACGGGACATTTGCCGTAGCGAAAATTCGCGTGGCGCGAACGGCGAGGCGTCTACCGACTAAAACAAATGTATAGAAATGTATGGATCAAACCGGCGAAATTAAATGGGCGAATCGCGCGGGCGACTGGCGGCACGGTGGGCGACTGAAACAAATGTATGAATCAGTACAGTGCAAGCCACGGAGTCGGGCGGCAGACGCGGCGAATAGTGTAGGAAACAAAATATTTTAGTTGTTTTCGCCGCGAAAAATGCCGGGCCGACAAAAACAAATTAAAATTCTATCCGCATTGACTTTTATCTCTGATTCTGGTTGAATATTAACAAGAATATAATCGCAGGTTTCGACACTCATTCTGGTGTTTACTCGATTTTTTTTTTAGATGCATTCTGTATTTGTTGTGGAAATCATGTACTCCGCAATCTCTTCCAACATTATGTCTTGAATCAAAAACAATTACTTTCTAAGCATTATCGAGATAACTTTGATAAAGATATTTCACTCTCGGCCTATCTGGTCGCGGCGGCAAACGCGAATGCCCGTGGCCCTCAAATTACGGTAACGGTTGTAATGCTATTATGGGTTTAAAAAAAAGGTGTTTAGGTGCACTGGAAAGACCAGATTGCATCGATTAGTCCTATAAACTCAATTGTAGCGTTGAGCTTGTCCTGAAGGGTGGTTGCTCCGCGGAATTCTCGAGCTAAGGAAGATAGTTCAGCGACGTTGATGTTGCTGATAAAGCCGCAGACTAGAGAGAATTCAGCGGCGAAGGAAGACGAGCCTTGAGAGACCGGCTTGGGTTTTGGAGTCTGAGAAGTCGGCAGTGGTCGTGGGGCGACAAGTGTCGGAGGCTCCGCGAAGAGGGACACCCGCGATAGTCCGCTGGGTATCCCTCTTCGCGGAAATTTACACACCTTGAAGGCTCTGCCGTCTCGAGCGTGTGGATGCAGACAGTAGTGCCGTGATCACCTAGGCCAGGGATGACGAAACAATGGCACGCGACACAATATTTTGGGTACGCCACCAATGACAAAGTTCACTATGAAGTATTATATTACGAACGAACGCCCCTAGTTACATCGTGGACTACTTTTGCTAATGA